GGTTCAGCCTACAGGATAAAAAGGAACGAGGAGAATGGTGGTTTTCTGATTGGCAGGATAATTATTGAACTAATGACGATTGACATAATTTTTATAGGAGAAAAGTGGACCATTTGTTATATACGAATGTGAGAGAAATCGATACAATTTGGTACACTGAAAAATTAGAGAACTTTTTAAATGCACAGCCAAATTAACTTTACTTACTTCAAGTGATTGATTGTTTTAATTACTTAATGACTCAGCCTGCAGGATAAGAAGGAGCGAGGAGAATGGTGTTTTCTTGATTGATAGAATAATTGGTGAAGTAATGATGATTGATGTAATTTTTGTAGGAGTAAACATCAATTAGAAAATTGTTAAAGGAACATACAACTTACGTAATGATTACAGGTAATTCAAGTGTATACAAAAATTCATCGATTATGTAAAAAAAATCTGTTTTTCCTTTCAGGATTAGAAGTACTAAAGAAACGTGAGAACTATCCACATTTACCGATTATGTAACTGAAAGTTCATCGAGGATCATCGGCGTTCGTTCACTGTTCTTCAATAATCATCAGCTTCCTTTGTCACGATTAGGTTCCCGACGATTAACGTTTCAACGTTTCTAACGGTGGGAGTGAAAAGCGCGTCGAATCGTAAGTAATTAACAAAGGCAAAATCAATCTGCCCGACGCGGTTTTGCGCAACGCACGAGGAGGACAGCGCGGGAGAGACTGCGAGGCCCGAGGCGTAGCGTCGTAATTATAATGAGTCGCGTCATCAGCTGATCCTAAATGGAACGACCGAGCGACGAAGAGGAGCGTTGATCGCTCGAACACGAATCCGATTCGATCTTTCTTATCGAGTTTATAAAAACTAATCAAACAGGAATTACAGAGGAAATTTTACATTGATTACGGCCAATCACTAATAGACTTCTAACGAATGAGATGACACAGTTATAGACATCTATAAGCATTTGTTATTTAAATGTAAACTGATTTGTTAACAGCAGGTTTTCCTAGTCATCTTGAATGACTTAAATCCACGAAATGTAATGTAAATTGCGAAGTACCTAATGCAATGGAAAAACAAGCATCTGGTTATTTATCATCTAACTTCCCAACTGACCGAGATCTCGGAACTGTGATTCACTGAGTCTGTTGGGAAAACCGTGACTTAATATTTTAAAGAAGAGAACAAATAAGATCCATCCAAAAAAAGCAAATATATAATTTGTTTCAATTGAGAGTCTGGTTAATTTAATGTATTAAACGTACGGCACGAACGAGTCGCAGCCACATGGCGCGGTGGATCTGGAATTGAAATTCAGCATTCCTTCCGACGCAGAAGGCAGCGATCGCAAAAAAGATTAGAGCACCGAGCTCCAGAAGGTCTCGTTATAAGCGCACATTTTCCTCGGTA